GATGGAGGCGCGGGGAGAAGAAGAGGGACAGGGAGTCGATTTGAGGAGAATATGGTAGGGGGGGGGGCAGGGGGTGAAGAGGGTATATACCCCACCATTGGGTTAAAAGGCTGTGTGTGAGGGAGATGGAAAGCTGCTTCCTTTGGATCTCAAAGCCGTCGTCAGGCAAGACCAACTCCAAATGGCTGCTTTAAAACCTTCACAAGTTCCCTGTCTGTGAGCCCCATCCCAACCTCGGGTAAGAATCCGGCCTGTGGAACGTCACGGGTAGTTTTAATTTCATCAGGCTCTGTCCTTACCCAGGGAATGCCTTTCAGAACAAGGTGACCAGGATGTCCCTTTGGTTTCTTTAAAGGTAACAGTTTCTGCTGCACACAACCAAGCTGTGATTCTTCAGAGAACTCCACCGCTGCTAGCAGCCTATTTGACTGTGGTGGGCCTCACAGCCCAGATCTCCATCCGGCCACAAGGAAATTACGGAATCACTTCAGGATGGTTACTTTTGTTTATAACACGGAAACGGCCACCGGTACTATGGGTGAGCTCCATTTGCTGCAACTCACTTCGACTATATTGTCTTTGAGCATGCTTCACAATCCCTTTGTGCATCTGTGCCAACTTTGGAGGGTTGTATCAATAAGGATGTTGCTTAACTGGAACAGCATTTCCAGTATCTACGTCATTCTAAATTAGATTTCCAGCTTATTCCCACAAAGTCTCTACATCCTTACAGGGCTGTTTAGCAAACCCTCATCGCCCTTATTCACAAACGCAAGTTGCAAGCAGAAATAAAGATTTGGGACTGGCTTGACTTCTCATTCAGATAACGCATTTGTAAAAGGTGTACTGTCCCTTGAAGACAGTGTCTCTGTTTTCCCGGAGAGGCCATCATAAAAAACATATCCCCCACCCAGCTTTCCCCCCTCCATCAGGGTCAGGAACGTACCTGATGTAAGTGTTAGCATTACCATCCGGAAAAACGTAAGGATGTTTCTTGCGGAAAACATGGCCCACCCGACTGCATGGGATGATCTCCAGGGTCCCACCACACATCCACACACGGAAGGACATCTCTGCAAGAGGTACACAGCGTGACAGAAACAGACCACTCGGCCTGACTGGGTCAATCTGCTCCAAATGATTCTATCCCCTGCCTAACTGCCTGAGGATGGAGAAAATACGACTCGATTGGATTCCCCGGAGAATGAGAGGTGATCTCGGTGAAATGTATTAGATTCTGAAAGGGTTTTGACAGGGTAAACACTGAGAGACTGCCTCAGAGGGTCAGGAAGTTCCTGAGGTAGAGGGGCCGAGCCTCGGGGTAAGGACAAATGCCGAGATTCAGTAGGAGTGAACATTGGAGCAGAATCCAAGACCAGTCAGCCCTGTCACTCCCACAGCTAGCTCTGTACCGTTTACCTCTGCCACTCCCTGCACTAGTGAGGTCCACTTTCCACTGAAGGACTCGCCTCTGAAGTTCCAGTTGCATTGAGCACTGACTATCTTTGTCTGTAAGAGCCCAGTTCTGGTCTCCACCACAACAGAAAGTGTCTCCTCCATGTCCATCTTTTTATTCATGTATTTCATTTATTCCTGCCCACACTGCCCTGCAATGCCCCCACTCCCACCCAAATTACCCTGTCCCAGTACCCTGCTGCTCACCTTACCCTGTTCCCCCCCCTCACCTTGCCCTAAACCTGCTGACCTGATCCTACCCCACTCCTGCCCCATACCCAATGCCTAGTCCCTCCCCCCTCCCCACTGGGGACAGATATAGCTCCAGTCACAGGAAGGTGACCAAACCCTCTGGTCTATTCAGTCTTACCCTGCAGTACAAAAGCTAAACAGCTCGGGACTCTACTCACTGGAGTTTAGAAGAATGAGAGGTGATCTCAATGATACATATCGGATTCTTAAGGGTCCTGACAGGGTCAATGCTGAGAGGATGTTTCCCCTCCATGGGAGAGTCTGGGACCAGAGGGCACAGTCACAGAGCAAAGGGGTACCAATTTAAGACTGAGATGAGGAGGAATTTTTTCCCTCAGAGGGTTAAGAGTCTTTGGAACTCCTTGCCACAGAGAGCTGTGGGGACAGAGCCCTTGTGGATATTCACATCTGAGATAGATAGAGTCTGGATCGGTCGGGGAATCAAGGGTTACAGGGGAAAGGGCAGGAAAGAGGATGTGAGGAGTATTGGATCAGCCATGGGGGTGGAGTTGGCTCGAGGGGGGCCGGTCCTATTTCTGATGGCCTTATGGACAGGGTACTGGGCTTGGTGCTGCTCTGAATAGACCACACCGGATTCTGATTCAACAACTTGCTCGTCTCTAGACATATCGAACCAACTCTTCCATGGAAGATGTATTAAAACCTTCTACAGCACAGCCAGCGTTTAAACTCCATTTCAACTTCTGGGGTTAAACGGGATTAGTAGAGAGGGGAGCAGAACAAAATCTAGTTATATCCATATCCTGCAGTTGATTAAAAGAACAGGAAAGAACATGGATCTGGTTAGTCAATCCCATGTAGATCAACTGTGACCACCATTGTGTTAGATTAGGCCTCCAATTGTCCTGGGGCTAATACAATACGATAATAATTCAGAACATAATGTGTACCTGTCCACAGGGTCTGCAGTATCTCCCCACCCAGATCTTACCAAAGTTCTCCCCGCCCCAGATGTCCATCGCAGTGTCATACTTCCCGAGCTGGTTAAACCAGGCCTTGTTGATCACAAAGAGACCTCCAGCAATAACTGGTGTCCTGAGAGGAACAGATAATGTTAGCTTCCACACATCAAAACACAGTCCCAGTACCAAACACAGTCCCAGTGTCAAAACACAGTCCCAATACCAAACACAGTCCCAGGGTCAAAACACAGTCCCAGTACCAAACACAGTCCCAGGGTCAATACCAGTACCAAACACAGTCCCCAGATTAAACACAGTCCCAGTACGAAACACAGTCCCAGGGTCAAAACACAGTCCCAGTACCAAACACAGTC